TTTATCGGCCAGGTTGGCACAATAAACTACCTCAACCTCAGAGGTCAATGTCTCCCCTCAGAAGCTGAAAACAAATCAGACTGTAAAGATGGAAGGGTGGAGAACTGACCGTCACAGGGGGAACAAGGCTGATTGCTAGGAGGTGGAGATCAGACGTAACCTCCTGTCCAGCCTCTGACCAGTTCTGACACCAGCATCCCTCCCCACAGCACACGTTACTTCTCCTCTGGGTTTGATCATTCTGCTGCATTGCAATGACTACACAAAACTCACAGACAATATTCATCAGGACAGGCTCTGGTAGGGAAGTATTAAGTTACAATTCAGATCAGGAGCAAGAGGACTTCCTTCTAGCCGGTAGACACACGACATAGACCCTCTGTCACACAGACCAAATGTAACAGACACGGGTGATCATCCTGGGACCTTCCCACTCCTGGGAAGAACTCCAGTCTTAGAAACCCATGGGGCAGTTGCTGTGGGTGATAATGGACTTGATCGCAGTCATTTGTTATTGTCATTGCTGTTCAGGGAGCTAGCAGGTTAGCGGGTGACACAGTGGTTATGAGCGGGGCTGCTAACTGCAAGATACGCAGTTGGAAAGCACCCGTTGCTCTTTGGGAGAAAGAGAAGGCTTTCTACACCCACAAAGAATTCTAGTCTTGGAAATCCGCAGGGACAGTTCTACCCTGTCCTATCCAATAAAACAAAAACAAGACTCACTGCCATTGAGTCGGTGTCAACTCATAGCGACTCTGTAGGACAGGGTAGAACTGCCCCTGTGAGTTTCCCAGACTTGAACTGGTTACAGACATATAAAGCCCCGTCTTTCTCCCACAGAGCAGCTGTTGGCTTTGAACTGTCGACCTTGTGAATTGCAGTAACCACTATGCCAACAGGGCTCCTGGACGGTCACTATAAATCAGAATCAACTCGGTGGCAATGAGTTTGGTTGGAACGGGTTAGCACAAGTCAGGTCCAGTAAACAGTAAGGATACATCCTTGGTCCAGAGCAGCACCTCTCCTCAGCCCCAGTGTCCAAGTTCCTCTCCATTCCTCAGCTTCTCGGCCACGTGATCCCTTGGCCTCTGCCTCCGTGGGTCAGGAAGCCCGCCTGTTGTCTGCCTCATGGTCCCATAGTTTGGTGCTGCCGCTCTGTTTTATCTCACGGTTCCCTTGCCTTCGCCTCTGGTCTCTCTCAGCCTGCCCTTTGCTGCCTCTGGCCTCCATGCTGCAGGCTCTGGTGCCTTTGGTTTTGGCCTTGGCCCCTTCAGAGGGAGATCTCAAATGTGCCCCCCTTGTGGCTTTCTCTGATGGCCCTTCTAGACAGAGACATGGCTTTCCCCAAGGAATTTTATAGATGACAATGACAGAAATGTAGACTTATTGTTGGTTCGGAGTTCAAATGAGCCAAGGCTCACTTTACAAGATTAAAAAAAAAAAAACTCTCCTCTGTGCAAATTCTTTATTCTTTTTTTTTAACAGTCTTTATTGGCACTTTGTCCACATTTCAATAGTTCAATCATATCAAGAAGAGTTGTACAATCATCACCACGTTCAATTTTAGAACATTTTATCCTTCCTTGCACTTACTCCTTGTTATTTGTGTAATTATTATTTTGTTTCAATTGTGGCAAAAATATACACAACAAAACATTCTCCCATCAATAACTTCTACATGTATAATTCGGAGCCATCAATTATACACTCTTCATGTTGAACAGCCATTATTGATATCCAGCTCCAAATTGTTCCACCATCATTCTCATAAACTCCATGGCCCCTCAGCCCAATTCTTTACCAATCAAGCTCTTTCCCCATCTTCCCTACCATTATTTCTTTCTCCCTGTTTGGGCCTCTGAGGTCAGTGGTTTTCAACCTTCCCAATGCCACGACCCTTTAATCCAGTTCCTCATGCGGTGGTGACCTCCAACCATAACATTATTTTCGTTGCTACTTCATCACGGTCATTTTGGCACTGTTATGAATCGGACGGCCCCTGGGAAAGGGTCGTTCGACCCCCACGTTGAGAACCGCTGTCTTGGGTCACTTCTTCTACTTCACCACGTTTCTCACACGCTGTCAGCCACCTCATCTCCCGGATCCAGCTCTCGCTTGTTCTCCGTGACTCCACTCACTCTGGGCTTTAAAGCCCTAGCAATCTCCAAGAGCAGCCTCAGAGACAAAGCACCCGCAGCTGAAGGTAAACATTAGAGACACAGGCCTCCTCAGTGAGCGGCCAGGCCCATAGCAACTTGAGGAGGTCACGTCTCAAGGTCATCTGTTCTTTCTCTAGCTGCACCGTGCCTTCCCTATACCCCCCACCCACCCAAATGACAGACACAGAGGGAAATGGAGGGGCACCCACTGTTTGTTCTCCAGGCTCTGTAGGAAACACGGAGCTGTCCCTCTGGCCACAGACATTCGGATCTACGTGACGGGTGATTGTGTGGACATTGAGGAAATGGGCACCATTCAAAAGGGAACGGTGTGACCCCAGAGAAACCGGACACGTCGACACTGTGACTCAGCATGCCATGCTGCCGGCCTGTGAACACACATGTTAAAGACAAGATGCTCACCAAGAGAATGAATGGGCTCGTGAGTGTATTAAGCACCCTGAGAACCGGGACAGCTTCCTGAAGTGCGTGAAGGAGAGAGGTGCCCCACCCCCACCCACCCCACCCCTCCAAGGAGCAGGGCACCTGGGTGTGTCTGATGCACCAGACTGCCCCACCCAGAGAGAGAGGAACGGAACAATGGAGCCCCACTCCCTATGAGTTCATGGCGTAATCTGTGTAAAATAAAGATGTCTGGGATATAAAAAGAAGAAAAGGCAAGCAAGCAAGCTTTTTCAGCCAGGGCAGGAATGTGCTTTGCCTTGGGTGATAGGACCGGACCCCAAGGCGCTCTAGCGACAGGACTGGTTTTTCTTCTGCCCGCAGCCTGTACCGCCCACTGACTGTATTCTGTCCTGTCACCCCCCTCGCCCTCTCCCTGCCTTCCTCCCCCCATGATATTTCCTGTTTCTAATCCCTGGCGCTGATTCTGTCGTTCTTTGGGTCAGTTTTTGTTTGTTTGTTTTGATTTTTTGCTATGAGTGATGTGAAAGTTTACAGAGCAGGTCAGTAACCACAATTCCCCGAGTGGTCGTCATCCCAGGGCAACATCTCTTCTAGCAACCTCCGCCCTGTTGACTGGTTTCATCACTCCCTTTTTGCAGTTAGTTATCACTCCCTTCCTGGCCCCTCTGTTGATCTCTAACAGTTGATTATTCTAGGGGGTCTATACCTCCCAATTGTTCTTCTTCTTGACCCATCTGTTGTTTAACTAAAAATTGAGCCATGGTGGTGAGTTCTTTTCCAGACCTGAAGGGTGGCTAGGGACCACAGTCTTGGGGGCTCATCGGTTCTCGGTTCCCTTAACCAGTAAGCCTGGTCTTGGTTGTATGGTTTTGAGTCTAGTTCCACATTTTCCATCCAGTCTCTAGTACCTTCCAGAACAATCAGCTGTGGTAGCCGGGCACCATCTAGTTCTCCTGGTCTCAGGATCATGTAGACTGGCATTCCTGGGGTCCTTTCGTCCATTGGACTAATTGTTTCCATGGGCCTTCAGCTTTCTTTACCTGTCTTTCCTCTGGACAGGGAAAGACTACAGTTGAACCTCAGATGCGTGTTCGGGCACAACTCCTTCGTGAAGCCACCTAGCTGCCTTGGCTTCCAAGCCTCCGTCATCCCTGGTTCTCGTTGACCGCTCTTTCTCTCCATCAGTCGTTTCTCTTCATTACTGCTCATGGATGTTTGGTTTGATCTAAGGTTCATACCAAGGTTCTTTGCCTATACCCCTTTAGACAGGTTATTGAGAAACCATCAAATAGTTCCCTCGCTTTTCTTTGCTCCCCAACTTGTGCACTTGGCTGTAATCAATAGACCGTAATTCCATCCATTCAACATAACGTTTACCAAGGGCTCACTCATCGACTGGAAGCTGGGGGTGCAGAGGTCAAGAAAACCTTCTGTGCTTGAAGATGAACGGCAGGGGGATGTGAGTATTTGGGACTTTCTGGAAGAAAAGTGGAGGAAGGCTTCAGAGAGCGGGAATGCTTTTGTGAAGTGGACGTAGCATTTCTCTAACCTCGGTATGCCAAGCGCAGCCAGGACGCGAAGCAGCAGTGTGTGTTCCGGTATAAGCAATACTTAGTGTTTACTGACAAAGGATAGGAATGGAAGGAAGACAAGGAGAGGTGAGTGGAGCGTAAGAAGGAGAGAGAGAAAAGGCAGGGGGTTGCTCATTCAGAAAGGGATTTTAATTTGCTAGAAGGGGGTACCAGTCAGGGAGATGTGAGACAGAGGCATGATGAAGCCAGGCATCTGCTGTTGCTTTCTGTAAGGGAAGAGAAAGGGCAAGAAGCTCTGTCAAGGTGTATATTCCAACCAAATGCCCAGTGTTGCAGATGGAGAAAGCCAGATGAATGGAAGCAGTTAGGAGTGCAAAATGCCAGTGGTGATAACTAACTGCAAAAAGAGAGCCCAGGAGAGATGGCATCGAGGCTGGCTCCTGGAGCGGAATCACTCAAGATCCAACCTCCCTGCCGTCAAGTCAGCTCCGACTCCCACGACACTCCAGCACAGAGCAGGACTGCCTCAGCGGGTTTGCAAGACTGTGATTCTGGATGGGGGTCGAAAGCCTCCTCTTTCACCCACAGAGCGGCTGCTGGTTTACAAGGTTGACCTGAGATGAGCAGCCTAGTCCCAAACCCATGCAGCCACGAAGGCCCTTGGATTTGAATGCTGTTGCCGTGAGGCACTGAGTCGGCCTATGCAAGGCCACCTGATGCACAACAGAAAGCACTGCCCAGTCCTGCGCCAGCCCCACAATTGTTCCCATGCCTGAGCCCATTGATACAACCACAGTGCCCATCCATCTCCATCTCACTGGAGCCCTTCCTCTCCGCCGGCCTTCCACTCTGCCTCCTCCAGACGCTGGTCTTGCCTGACAATATGCCCGAGGTATGTAAGATGAAGTCTTGCCATCCTTGCCTCTACGAGTACTCCGGCCTTCCTTCTTCCCATCCTAGATCAGTTGGTCCTTTTAGCAGTCCATGGTACTTTCAATATTCTTCTCCAGCATCATAACGCAAATGGACAGATTCTTCTTCAGTTTTCCTTATGCACTGTCCAACTTTCGCATGCAGATGAGGTAACGGGGAATACCCATTTGGGTCAGGCCCACCTTAGTCCTCAAAGTAACATCCTTGCTCTTTGATACTCTAAAAAGATTTTGTGCAGATTTACCTAATGCAGTATGTTTTTTGAGTTCTTGACTGCTGCTTCCGTGAGCATCGATTGTGGATCCAAGCAAGATCCTTGACAACTTCAACCTTTTCTCCATTTGCCATGTTGTTACCTATCGGTCCAGTTGTGAGGATTTTGCTCTGCCTATCACAGGTTGTTACTAAGCCTTCCTCCACCTCTGATGGCACAGCCTCTTTCATATAATTCAGTTTCTCTGGGGATTTACAGATTGAACAAGGACGGTGAGAGGCCACAACCCTGACACACACCTTTCCTGATAATGGTGCGATTCACTGGTAGGAGAAGATTGAGAGCTCAGGTATGGGCGCGTTGACTGTGCCGTGTCCCACCCATGCGGTAGCTGGTCATCTTCGGGTCTAGAACTCTGAGAGACCTGGGTTGGACGTCACCGAAGTCTTGTAAAGAGGAAATGGGAAGGGATTTGGGGCCCCCCTGAGAACCCCCCAGCACCACTCAGTTGCGTATCCTTGCTCTCCCTCCAGGTGGCACTACCGCTCCGCGCTTCCAAGGCTGTGTTCCGGCCGGGAGCGCTCAGCACCCTGGGCGTCCCGCGTCTCTCTCCGGACACCCTGACCCTAGGTTGTGCCCTCCCCACCGCGCAGGATTTAACTGGCGATCCAGCCAGCACGGGCCCCTGTGTTCAAGTCGACCACCCGGCCAACACGTGCGCGGCGCCTCTGGAACCTTAGAGCTGGTGGCGAGGTCGCCTCAACCATCTGTCCCTCGGGCCACCTCCAGGAGTTGGGGGTGGGGGTCGGGTGGGGAGTAGGGGGAATGGGTGTGGGAGAGGGCCGGACATTGAGTTCCGGGGACAGGGAAAGCCAGGACACAAATTTCCTGGCCCCTAAGGCCACCGGTGCGTGGGAAGAGTGTCATGGGCCCTTGAAATTCCCAGTTTCCTGGCCCCCACCCCCGCCCAGGACGGGCTCGGACACCCGGGACCTGACATTTGGCGGCTCCCAACGTGGAAGCTAAAAATAGCCGACGTGGGTTACTTGGGGCCATTGCTCCGCCACCACCCCTCGGGCCTGCCCGCGCGCCGTCTCGTGCCACCCGCGTGCCCGCCCGGACAAGTGCACCTGGCCCATTCCCCTCCCCTTGGACCGCCGTCCCCAACTGCGGCGCTAGTCGCTTTGGGGCCGGAGCGCACACCTGCTGGTGGGCGGGGCCTCTCCCGCGGTAGCCAATGGTCCGGGCGAGGGCGGGTCTGCGGAGTTTCACCCACGCTTTCCTCCAAAC